TGAGCCCAATAGGATGTACCTTACAACGGCCACAAAAAGAGCCACCACTGGGCCAGAAAAACACTGAAATTCGCGGCCCATTGTTAGGACCACTTATTTGACGTTTTCTGTACTTAGTTGATCTACGAAAACTACCAATCTTATATAGTTGTGTGAAGTGTGAAATTTTCCTTCCACCAACGATGTGGTATAAAATCACCCACCTATCCTTCCATACACACTTAGTTCCATTTTGTTTTCTTTTCTCTGCTGCTTTGCTTCTTGTCTCTGTCCTTAACTAGGGTTGAGCTATGCTCAACAATCTCTTCTCCTCTCTCTGCTATTTCCTTAGCCATTCCTTTTGTTTCTCCATCGATCAAGGTGAGCAGAATTGATCAGGGTTTATACGTATTTTCTCGTGTAGTTGACCATTTTTGGACCAGCTTTGGTAATTAAGGATTGTTGTCGCCAATGCTTCAGTAGCTTGAAGTGAAGCAAATAGAGATCCTACTATCAATCGATACCCAAGGTAAGGACTGCCATAGCCAAGGCTTCTGTGGAGCTCCTAACACTAAAGGAAAACTGATTTCTAGTCATGGGATCTTATTCACGGGGAAGTTTCCTGTGTTATAAACAATACTAATAGTTACGGTAAAAAGTCCTGTAATTAGTTATATACTTCTAGTCACAGGAATTTATTTATTAACTTTTTAGTATTCATTTCCTGTGATTAATGATTAATCACCGATAATTTCAGTGAACAATTGTGGTAATTTCTTTCGTAAAAAAATGTGCTCCAAATTGTAAGAGAGAGATTTTAGTTTTTTCACTCCAAACTTTCATTGCCTCCAAAAATTTTGTTTGGCTCCAAAGATTTCAGAAAAAGTGAAACAAAAAATTCACAGTGTAAAGAAAGAAATTTTGGCTCCCAAAATAAAAAACGAAACAATTCTCTTTAAACAAATTCCCACCAAAATGAAAAAGTTTCCCCCCACACATTTTCCCCGCCCAAAATTTCCCACCCACAAATTTCTAAACCAAATTAAACTCTCGTTTTGTCTTCCTTTCCCAGATACGAAGAAAAGCTTCCTAATTCCTTCTTTTCATTCTCTCGTTCTCTCTTCCTTTTGCAGAGATAAGAAAAGTTGGATCCTTCTTCTCTACTTCTCTCTTCCTTTCCTAGAGTCAAACTCCGCCCAAATAAAAGATACAAACCGAAGGTAACCTTATCTCCCTCTTCGTTACTCAATCTGATTTCTCCCTACATCTCTTTTCCGGGTCGATTGTACGATGGGATTTATGGGAATGAAACGACGCCAGTGGCTTTTGCTGAGGTAAGACGAACTTAATAAAACCTAATGCATGCTCGATTTTGATTCATTTATTGTTGGTTCTCAGGGTTCTAATCTACTTTTTATATTTTTCTTGATTTGTCTAAGGGGCATTGACCGTGGAAGGAAGCACGCTGACTTTGGATATCTCCGGCAGAGAGGCCACCTTGCCGTGGAGAGGCTTTCGGCTCTAAACCCCGAGGAGGAAGGAGTCATCCCCGACGAGTACTTCTGATGAAAATAATGGTGGTTAGGACATGCACAACTTTTGGTTGGTTTGATTTTAGGAATCTAGGTCATAATTTCTCAATTTCTGTCTAATTCTATAGCAGGAGCTTCAGCTAACAGCTCCGCCACAGATCAATAGCCCCCGAGCTCTACGTAACAGCCATACTCGATATGAGTAAACCTGGGTTGGTTTCCTGGAGAGTTTCATGCAATTGGCATGTTCTGTTTGTAGTTGGACAGCAAACCTGAGGTGCAAAATGCAGTTGATTTATAGCTTGTGGGTGTGCCCAGTTTATGCTATTAACTATGTATACTTTCACAGTGAATCTGGCATTTAGTTAATCCATTTCTTGTCTTTGGAACCCTTGAAAACATTATGCTTGGCATTGGTTCAGAGTTGATTTGTTCACCTAATTTCTCCTAGCAATATAATAAGCTTACACACTGTATGCAGAGGGCAATTTCGCCTAGGTCAGGCAGTGGAGATGTTTTGTGACACTGGGCGGATCAGTATGGCTGCATGATACAACAAGGTGGGATTTTCAAGTTGCCCCTGAATTTTCCGGAAGATTACTGTGGTTTCTTTTTTCACTGTCATCAACTAACCCTAATTGCCCTTCTTTGTTTCAGGAAATTGTTGATTGTATCAATCATAAGTAAATATAGATTGATTTTCACTATCATCAACTAACCTACCATATGCACTAATTGATTCTCAATTTCACGAGAACAAATATTAGGAAAGAGGAAGGGCCAAAGTGGTCGAGCAACTAAAGTAATTACCAGAAAGATGCTTACTGCCAGACAAGAAATCATGTATGGAATCTCTCAACTTTACCAGAAAGTAGCATGCCCTGTATTTACAAAGGCTGCTCCCCTGTTTCTTTTCTTGACTAGGAATTCTTTTGCGTGCCTTGCTGTATCAGTGATGATGTTTACATTATGGGGCTGGATTGCATTTGCTACCAGACTTGGTAGACATGGAGGCCAAGGTCATGGTGGCTCACATAGGCAGCAAAGATCCGCAGTCGTCTATTGAAGTGAAAGGGGCCCCGTTGGTGATGGCGGTCAATTTGGGTTTTTTCCAATTCGCGTTAAAGCTTGACATGTGTGTCATTATGTGCGTTACTTTGATCAAGGGTGTTATATATAAAGTGCTAATGTGCGTTAATCTGAGAAACTATAGTATTTTTGTTTGATGACATAGAGTAAGAAACTATAGGTTTTTCCCTATAAGCCGACTCTATAACCTATACCCTAAACCCCTAATAATCTGAATTTTGATTGATGAACATGTGTTAATAAGAAAAGTTGATCTTATTAGTTATGATTTTGACTAATAACTGTTAAACCATTAATACCTTATACCCTAACCCATTAGACTAACCATATACCCTATACATCGACTCTATAGTCTATATACCCTAAACCCCTAATGGTTTGATTCATGAACACGTGTAATAAAAAACTCGATCCTTATTAGTTATAAGTTATTATTTTGAGTTTTTGACTAATCGTGCCTAAAACATTAATACCTTATATCCTAACCCATTACACTCATTATAGATTGATGATGTATACTATTATACTAAGTCAATAATTGATGATGTAATGATTAGACTTTAGTGAACTAGAATTTCAAATGTCAAATTATGGTTTATCTTCATCGAATTCCTTCTATTATAGTCGAGTTGCGGGTTGGTTGGGTTACGGGTTCGGGTTGGTCGGGTTGTGGGTTAATCGGGTTGTGGGTTGGTCGGGTTGCTAGTCGATCGGGTTGATCGGGGTGCAGGTTGGTCGGGTTGCGAGTCAATCGGGTTGCGGGTCGGGTTGATCGGGCGGGTTACTCGGGTTGGGTTACATTTTGACAGCTCTAAGCTCAACCCTCCTTTTATACCCAGGTCGAGGGCAGTTCACGGTCTTAGTTCACGGCCGTGAATATCCTTCCTGAACCATGATGTCGAGCGAATCCGCACCGTTTTTACTTAATCTGTTAACGGTCTGGGGCTTGAGTTCACGGTCTTACGACCGTGAATTGACTAGGATCTAGTGAGGTGTGCATTTTGCTTCTGGACTTTTATCACTTCATGGTCTGGGGCTTTAGGTCGCGATCTTACGACTGTGAACTGGTTGGACTCCAGTGAGGTGTACAATTTGCTTCTGGAACTTCAGCGCTTCACGGTCGTGATCCTCAAGTGCTTCCATCCTTTGACTCATTTTCGCTCCTTTTCGTCCCACTTTCGATTCTGGGGTCAGTTTCACCTGCTTGGATCTGAAAGATACTAAAAAAAAGTGCAACCTTGCGTAAAACCACACCTCACGGAGTACAAATGCATCAAACTGATACAAGTAATACCAGTATCCACCACAATTTCGAATGCATCAAGAGCGTGCAAATGAAAAGTTCTCACCCTGTTCACCAACCAACACAAGTCTCGACAAGACAACTCACCAACCACAACTAATCGTGCATAGAGTTCAAGTCCAACGCACAAACGAATGGGCAACATAGGTCCTCACCGGGGTAAGATATGACATGCAAACCATTTGGTGCAATAGATGTGCACAACCATCAATACTCAGCCCTATCGTCTCTTCACCACGGCGGCAACCTCTAAATGCTAGAGTTCACAGGATGGTTGTCATCACTAGCTTGTCCGGAGGTCTTAGACGGGTTCAAGTGACTAGCAATTGTCTTGGACATGGGGAAAATGCCTTTTGGGTGGTGGTAAACATAGCATGAGGTCCTACATCTTCATCCTAAAACCAAAGGTTCCATGGTTTCACTAGAACCTTTCCTACAATCAAGGCCACTAGCAACAGCCAAAAACCGCTCTTCCCTTCTTCCAAATTATTACCAACCACGAACTACATTCAAGCACACTTGCTCGGTCTATTTTTGCTATCCACATCTGAATCATAATAGTGAAGGAGGTTAACAAATACTTAGGTGTTTAATGGCTTGAGCGCTAAGAAACCTTTTCTAGAGCATACACCTAGACTTTTGTGGCAACTCTCTACTTTTATTTACCCCGTTTTATTACCATTTACGTTTCCTTTTTTTTTCCGAGGGAGGTACTAGAGAGTTAAACACTTGCCAACTTAACACTTAACGAACAATGCCCTCTATTAAGGACTTTCCTCCAACACTACCATTTCATTCCTAGCAAGAACCGTACAAATAACTGTTGAAATTCAAACCCAATCTCAATCCCATAACATAATACGCATATTCAGTAAAATCATATATCGACAAATTCGGTACGGTATTCGATATATTCCAATTACCAATACCGAGACCAAATTCTAGCCCTAGCAGTGGGTACAATTTTCCATCACAAAATCCGCCACACCCCCTCGCTAGTTGCAGTTTTTTGCAACCTTCAGTGTATATCATCCTAAAAGAACAATAGTATTTGCTAACCTATGCTTACATAACATTCTAACTAAATCACGAAAGAAGTTAATGATGCCTTTTCATTTCTTCTTTTTCTACCCGGAAAAAAAAAATAGTCTAGTACATTAGAAGTTCGGGGAGCTTGTGAGAGCACACCAACACCAGTGTGCAATGAGTACAAAATCCTGGCGTTTGGCCGACTCAAAATCATGAACCAATCAAAAAGAGAAACTCACAATGTGTTCCCTGCCCAAGCTTGAAAACGAGAAGGAAACTACATTGGTTTATGTCATCTATATATATTCGTGTAGAAAGGTGAACTAACAAAACAAAACAAAACGGGGGTTAAAAGTTAGTTAATCCTTGCTGAATGAATCATCTAGCTCTAGCTCCATCCCTGTCCGATTTCTAATAAAGGTACTAGCATCAAAGGGTGTTTTGCATTTGCACTGTAACTCCTTGAGCCGCTCAACGTTGAAGTTATGCTTCTTGAACAGCTTCCGCTGCCTCGACAGGAACAAACTCTTCATCAGGTCCTGGTATGTTGGGTCTCTTGCAGTGAAGAGGAAGTATGCATAGCCTATCACGATCCCAGTTGTGGTGGTGAAGAACGCAATGGGTTCCATCACATCCCATGAGAATTCCCAGAAAGTGAGCCGGAAGAAGAGGCCTACCTGAACCACAGCTAGCCCCAGTCCTCCCCACAGAATGCGCCGCACCTGTCTATGTGCTAGTACGTCGATTTCTTCCTTCTTTTCCCGCAAATTCTTCAGCTCATCCCTCATCGGGTCGTTCTCTGGTGTTAGGGCCAGTGGAACTGCTCTTCGTATCAGATCTACCACCTAAACCAAAACCAATTTCCGAAACAAAACAGCATCATCTCATTATGTGGTGCCCGCCAGTAGTATAGTCATTTCAAAAGAGGAAGCCTGAAAGCTTCAGGCATCAGAAAGGAAGGCCTTGCAAACTCAATTGTAAGAAGAAAATTGCCATGATAACATTCTTGTGCTCAACACAAATTGTACTCACTTGCAAGTACACCTTAGTAAGAAATCTCTAACAGACCAGCCTGTAGGAAGGGATTTTTTGGCCCGAAGAAATAGTCGTTTTGAGAGCCTGAGGGTTTGTCTCCAGTAGCAAACTGATACTGCTACAGACAAGAGACATCCTCCTGGCCCTGGCAGCAGCCAGTTTCAAGGCCAAATGATCAAACACGGGACTGGAGAGTGGAGAGCCCATTTTTTTCTAATTAGAGCTGAAATTTCAGCAAAAATAGATGAATGGATGAGTGGCCAATATTGAGCATTCGGAATGCAGAACAATCTACTGGCGTGCTGTACAGGGCAAGCACCTTCTTTACAATGTTGCCAACATTACTTATCCTTAGCAGCAACAATCTCAAGAGCATGAATCACTAGGACAAAGCTTAAGCGGTTTTGCCATTCGGAGGAGTCATCGCGCATTCATTCATTCAAGAGAGAAATGCGAATAGAGGGTAAATGCTACAGAAACGCTTAATTCATTCATATACGGTTCATTTGCATGAAGAGAGCAATTGGGGATGAGTCTGACATTTGAGTGACATCAATCAATCAAAATCAGATGATAGAAAGGCAGAAAGTGGGGGAGCGGGAAATACCTTATCAGGATGAAGATAGACCTTGTCCCGGAATAAGAGCACAACGCCGGCGTCGTCAAGGACGCGAGCGAAAGCGATGGCCTCATCGGAAGATCGAGCTACTCCCATGGATCGGCAAGCGGCGAGGAGGTCGTCGTAAGGGATGACTTCCTTCCCTTCCATCCCGAGCTTGCCTTTCAGCGCTTCCACGTTCACCAACCTCATCAGCCTCTTCGCCTCCGTGCAGCTCAGCGTCTCATTATCCCGTCCCCCTCCGGCGGACGGCGGCGGTGTCGCATTACCGCCGTTGTTAGAGTCGGAAGAAGAAGAAGAGTAGGAGCAAGATGCTGAGGCTAGAGTCGGCGATGAAAATGGGAAGACGGCTGCAGCTCGCCTCCGGCGACAAAAATAACAAGTCGGGTCGGAGGACGAGGAGGGAGGTGGCGGGGGACGAGAAACAAGTGGATGACATCTGAATACCAGTCCACCGAGCGGGTAAGGGCGAGAGGATTTGTCAACAGCGGCGGCGGACCAAGACCAGAACAATCTCTTCCACATTCTTCCTTTCTTCTTCTTCTTCTTCTTCTTCTTGATTCTGTGGCGGTTGTTTGTTTCTCTCGACTCGGCAGGGTTAAGAGTCGGAAAACTGGGCTAGGGAACAGTAATTAGTAAGGCCGGCGGCAATGGCCATGGTTGAGGCGAGGGTGTTTGCGTTGTTTAGATTTTGCTACTCGTAATTATGAGAGAGTATTAGGCGTCCAATCCGCCATTGTCATAGAATAGATGTGCTTTCCTTGCTTACTGGTGAACGCAAGTGAAGAGAGATAAGCAAACTCGGAAGAGAGAGGGAGAAGGTGAGGAAGAGTTGTATGAATTCAATGTCGAGGACAGGGTGTAATAAATAGCAAGTAATGTGCAAAAGGAAGATGATTGCAGAGGCGAAGAAGAAAAGAGTGGAAAGGCGGAGGGAAGAGAGAGAGAGAGAGAGGGTGCGCTTCAGTTTTGCTTATTTTGCTGGTTGGGTGAGGTCAGGCAGTCGGCGTCAGTTTTGCTTATTTTGGTACATTGCCAAAATGGAGATGTGGATCCGAGTATAAGGCAGGGAGCAGACGAAGGAGAAGGAGAGGAAAGAATGAAGGTGGTTTTAAATTTTAATTCTCTTTTACTTTTACCACCACTTTCTTTTTCGTTTTTTTTAATGGGTAACTGCAAGCTTTGACTGTGCGAAATGGGGTCTGATCTGAAGTTGTGAGTAGAGATGGCAATGGGCGGGTTTGAGGCGGGTTTGGCTAAACCATTTTTATTTCCGCTTTCAAATATTCAAATTCATACCCGCCCCATACTCATGTGGAGGAGGATTTTCCAAATCCATCCCCGTACCCATTGGTAATACCCGCTCCATACATCCAACATGATAACACCTAAAATTTTATATATAAATTTCAATTATAACATTAAACGCACCTACTATATCATGGAGTCGACAAAGAGACAATCATTCTTAACACGGATCAAAGCATATTAGCCTAAAGCATCCGTTAATCCATAAGATAGAATGCAATGTAATTCAAATCATTATTATCTTACTCTAATACATCTACTAAGTAATAACTAACATAATCTTGTTAACAATTGAAACAATGAAAGAGTGAAGGGAGAGTTGAGGAAAAAAAATTAAGTTTTGAGTTGGGTAGCCACCCAATTATATTTCTACTAAATATTTTATTGAGTTAGCCTCACTATTATAGATAGGTTACAATTTAATCAATGTATTTTTTTTATATGTGAAGAAATTATCCTAATGGGGCAGGTATGGGTATGGGGATGGGGCAGGGTAGGCTAAAATCATACACGCCCCATACCCCATCAAATGTTTTGCGGGTTTTACCCATACCCGGTCAAAGCGGGGGTTCCCCGCGTTGACTAGGTCGGGGGCGGGTGGGTACCCGCAGTCATGGGTTTGATTGTCATCCCTAGTTGTGAGCAGTATATTTGGGTTGGTGGTCAAACACGCCAATTGTTCGTTCCTCTTTCGAGCTTTGACCAAGCCCCTCCTCCCAACCCAACTGCCTCTTTCTTATCGCAATTTTCTTTCAACAAACTAGGAAAAAACTCAAAAAGTAATTGGATAATCACTCTTCTTTTTTTTTTATCTCAGTGGCTTATAACCTGACTCATTCGTCGGAGGTAGTTGAGCCGAATATTTAATTATTGGTATTGACGTAATAATGCTCTTGGCTCATGTATACTGTGAGGCCAACATCTCAGTAATCACTTGTTATTAGTTGGTAATGGAATATGGAATAGGTAACGTGAATTTATTTTGGTGTTTAGGATAGCAAAGAAGAGTAGAAGATGACAGAAATGATACCTACTTCGAGTTAATTAAACTGAATATCTAGCAAGTATTCATTGTATTTATCAAACTGGCGGGGACAACACTTCAATCCGTATTGGATAAGATATTTCCAGGAGTAGGCAAACCTATAATAGTTGCAAAAGTAATTAGAAGAAAGATTAACATTTGGAAGTCAGAAGAAATACAATATTAATTATTCAACTGCATCAACCTTTCACTTGTTTATTCTCTAATCTAATAATTTATTAATGGAACTATATAAGTACTACGTAGATAATATCAAAGCAGTCAAAATCATGATTTTACGTAAAATTAAAAATGGGGTAAGATCAGAATTGTAAAATCGTAGGATTTTAAGGTCCGTATAAAAATGAAGACGGAATAATATTAGTAAGAACAATAATGAATAACACAAAAGCAACACTTACAATGATAATTTTTCAAGGTTAATGTTCTAATTTATCAAGATTAATGTTAAGAGGTGGTGAATCGATGATGATTAATATGTTGATGTTAATTGATTATAGTCGATGGTGGTTAGTGTGAGAGTACTAGATGATGTTGGAGGAGAAGAAAAACAGGCGTAATTTTGCAAGTTTTGGGGGAAATAAGTAAACTTGACTCAAAGATTTGAATCGTAAAATCATAAGATTTTAAAGACTATAAGGATATAAATCATGAATAGTGTAGGATTTTAAGATCCATATATTTTATAGTGAAATCAGAATCGAAATAGGTAAGTAAAAGCGTAAAAGCGTAGGATTTTAGGATTTAAATAGGGATTTTGACTACTCTGGATGATATATTCATAACAACATAAAGTACATCCATTGTTCTCTAGATCCACACCAGTTCAGCTGAATGTAGCTACCTAAAGTACATCCATTGTTGACATGGAAAATAAGCAAAATGTCCACAAACTGGTAAGAGAAAGGTGTATGCGGACTTAAAAGATCTCTATGCACAACCACACCACAAGAATTATTAGTAAAAAGATTTTCAGACCCAAAAGAAAACTAGAAATTTCTCATTCTTGGAATTAACATCATGTAAAAGACACCCACGTAAACAAATACAAGTATGTTTTTGCTGAAAGTCGAAGCAACCAATAATTGATTGTAAAACAATAGGCATTGATATGATATAAGTTAAATGTTGATAGCATTCTAATTTTCTCCTCAAATCCTCTAACGTTTTCAGATAAGAAAAACAACCTTAGCATTTATATTCAAGAAGGAAAACAAAAAAAAAAGAAGAAAATTGCAAAGAAGCAAAAGGGATAAGCTCGAGGAATGAGGTTTTCTTCAAATACCCGCCTATGCATATTTCTGTAATTCAAAGAGGAGCATCTTCATATCAGTTAACTACATGAATGCCAATTAGCTAGATCAATTCCACTTGAATATAATCAAGTAATCAAACTACGCATTGTGTCAATGACATAATGTTCATACTATTTCTAAGCGGAAAAAATAGATAAATATCAGAAAAATAATAATATTGAATCCATGGGTAGTTACTATAACCCACTTCTGTATGGATAGCCAGAGGGTAGAACTCTGACGACATCGGAGCCAAAAAATAAACTGAAGACTTTGAAGAGGGCAGTAGAACCCTAAATTTAACTACAATCAAGCACAAATCATCAAGATTTTTTATTTGTCTGATTGTGAACTACACCTAGAGAAAAATGGAAGCATATCTTAAATGCTCCAAGCAAGTTGAAGGCAAACAATAACTTTAAGAGTTGGTCATTATAATAATCTTCAAGTACTGATGCTTCTGAGAACTATCATGCCCAACCCTCACTTATACAACTACGTAGCCCTAGTAATTAGTTGTATAATGATGAAATGTTACAAAGAAAATTACATAAAAAACCAATGTAAGTAAATACTGATAAACCTTTGAAGCTCTCTATTGGTTTAAATGTACCTCTTAGTAACTACTATGCAATCGAGTCTAGATGATTTTTAGCGTTGAATAAGAAAACTATAGATGGCTCACAAATGAAGACACAGTAGATGAAGGTAGCACACAAAATAAAATTAGAAAAAGAGATAAGGAAAAAGGTGAGAAACAGTCAAACAATGGAAAAGCCCGCATAGGAATATCTCGCTAGCTCTAGGGACTCTCTTTCACAACAAACAACCCTCTAGAAAATCCAAAATCCTGAGACATCAGACAACCCTTCGACGACACTAATGTATGGCATGCTTATTTCCAACAGGGTTGTCCAACTTAAACTTCAAAATGAAATTCAAACATTGGATTACTTCTAAATAAATGGACTTTTCAGCATTAAACCAAAACTCACAATCATTAACGCAAAAACAATGATTTCTCAGGCCAATCACAACATTTAAGCAGAAATTTTAATTGTAAAGAACAAGTGAGCATTTAACTAAACGATAGAATGGATACAATATGCTTCATACTAATGATATAAATGTATATCGGTACCATCGTTGTATCCTGACCTGCCATTTGCGATGAGTTACTTTGAAATACATATGCATTTCAGAGAATAAACCCCCATAAGGGAATTACAAAACCAAGCTTAATCCAAAATCTTCATATTCCACTTCAAAGGTTTCATTTTCAAAAGTAGGAGAGTTTAACATGACAAATCACTAATTTGAAAAATCTCAAACCACTATTAATCAATGCAATATATAGACACGTCCCAAATTTTGTACTTGTTGAAATAATCTCACATCATTATCAATTAATACCCAACTACCTTATGTGCCTAATAGCTCTAGAGCTCTAGAGCTGTATTGTTGTTTGTGTTGGTCTACCTCCAAACATAGCGGCATCAGGAACCAAAGTAATTGAGAAAAAATCTTCATATTCCGAGTAGAACGTCTGAATACAATTGAGGGAGGAGGCTATCAATGGAGTGGAGTGTGTTAATTAAGTGAATCACCATACAGCTGAACAGACTGGGTCTTCTTGATTAGCTATCACAACAGTGGAGGTAGTTGCAATACGTCAGTTGCTCCCTCTGTGGATTCTAGTTAGAATCTATGGCCTAAGTTGTAGAGATTAGGGTTCAATGAGAACTTTGGGTACAGGAGGAGAGTAGGTTCGTGGGGAGGAGATGGCCCGCCGAGTAGAATGGGAACCTTTTGGCGAGGCTGCGATGGGTACATGACTAGTGGGTCAAATCACAATTTGGGCCCGTTTAAATCAAAAACAGGTTTTTACCTTCATGCTCAACAGACCGGCCGTACTAGAGGCTTCTAAATTTATCCATAAAAAATTGCCTAGATGCAGCACATTTGAAATGGAATCCCTCATTTCTCATTTCATCTTTATATCATGTCTAGATTGTGTTGAATGTAGATGTAGACATGTCATTATCCTACAAATTCATTAACACACCAAAAAGTGGTGAAATGAGCCACCCTATTAAACTCAATCTCGTATAATGATAGTTGGATCTAATTATGTCAGGTTGTGCTTGTTTTGATACATGTCAGGTTGTGCTTGTTTTGATAGTTTGGCTATGCATTTCATCGTTCCTCGACATATTTCACACTAGGTTGTGCTTGTTTTGATACATTTCAGGTCCTAGCACGTGTGGAAGGGCTGAGCACGAGTTTCGTGATGATTGGAGGTCAAAAAGCGCAAAAACCAAATAAAAGTCCAAAGTCACCGTGACAATTGCCCCGTGCCAGTAAA